GTCAGAAATATGAATTAGCTAAACTTGTGACATGCAAAGAGCCCATATTTTTCCAGATATGGAGGATTCCTGGCTAAGCAAAAAGTTAGTTCCACTAGGCCTCCGTGATGCTTCTGGCAAGTTGCGAAAACTAGGTTAAACCAGCACTATAAAGCTAAAGGAGACTGCGACCAAACAGAAGGCCACACAATTTTGGTCTTCATATCTACGAATGGAAGGAACAAGTAAAGTGAATTAAGCAGGAACATCCTATGGCTATTCTATAGAGGTTAAGAGAGGTAGATGAGTTTAAACCTTAGCATCTCAATTGATTCGTACGTATAGCAGGCATTCTTCACGTGGCATCTGTATTCCTCTGCATGTAGCATCCAGTAGTCAACTCAATCATAGGATACTTCATTAACATCTGAAAATAAGTTATAAAATAGAATAGAATTGTAGCTGATCACTTTTATTGGCTTAGCACTTTAATGAACTTGCATAAATTGTGGTTTCTTGCTCTGAAAACATCCTTCACGGTAGGACTGTTCTGAAAAAATCCAGTCACAACTAAAAGACAACCTTTGTTCTGATTTATGAACTGTTCGGCTATTTCGTTAAAGGTAATGAAGGATTGGTAGTTGAATTTTCCCACAATTATATGAGTATGACTAATGTTTTCATTAAATTTCATATAGCCTCGAATTTACAAATTGTGTTATCATACAGGGTGGATTGCAGTTTCGATCCGGCCTAGGTCTTATCAACATCCCCACCGGTACTCGAACTATGACATTTCAGCATGTAATCTCAACGCGTTAACCACCCCGCCACATTGCCACGAGTTATCTTAGGTCACAGAGCAGATGCGAATTTCAAGGAAAGCCAGGTATCTTTCAATATAACATTCTTTGGTGGGATAGTCGATGAAACAAAGTTATATTTGCTATGACAATCGAGCACATTACATATTTTTCATTTTATAAGTAGGAGTTCATCACCTCGAACGAAATGGAGTGAATACATCTAATTTATCAAACGAAAAACAAGTAATGTACTCGATTGTCATGGTAAATATAACTTTGCTTCATCGACAATCCCAACAAAATATGTGATAAGTGGACTTCCTTGAGATTCATATCTGCCCTTTGAGCCAATGGCACTGTTTCAATGCAGCAGAGCAGTTAACGTGTAGAGCTTACACGCTGCACTGTCATGGTTCGTCTCCTGCTAGGGGTATTGATAAGACCTAGGCGAGGTCGAAACTGCAGTCCACTCTAGATGGAAACACTCTTGGGAAAGCAAGGCTGTGTAAAATTCAATGAAAGAGTCACCTCTGCTCATGTGTTTGCGGGAAAATTCAACTACAGGACCTTGATCAGATAATTGAATATGAATTAGTCGTTGCTCCAATTCATCCAAGTGAACTACTTCGCACAAATGGAATGTCGCCATTTCGATGCGATGATCCACCAAAATGTTAAAGGCCTTGAGATCTGGTTAAAGAAAACGACTTAGCGTGAGGCGAGTAAAGTCCTCCCTTCGAGGAGGCTATGCATATCATACGGGACTTCCCAAAACCCACTTTTCCAGAGTTAGGCAGGCTTTTACCGATTCACGGAACGCAAGTTGGTATGATTTTCTTGCGCATTTGCCTCACAAATCGATCAGAGGTGGGGATTCGAGCTTGGATCTTTGCCTCCACGTGCTGAATGTCGGAGGGAAGATGATCAGGAAGCCCGAATGACTTCCACCGGGTGGATCTCTGAGACATGGGAAGAGGAGGAATCCTCCGTTGAAGTATTGAGCATTGCAGCAGGCCGCTGGAAGCAGCTATTCTGGCCGCGTCAGGTCCGTCGTGAACGACAGTTCCTGTCGTTGTTCCCTCCAACTCTGGTCCTTCTCAGACCGAGAGCCCGTATTGCTGGGCGTTTTTCAACCAACCTCCAGCCCAGCCGGACATGACAATGCCTACGAAGAGCCCTTCTATTTGGTCTGTTCCGCCGGCCAAGTGGTGTGGGGACGGACGGGG